CAAAGTTGCAAGGTGGCAATTTCGTAATTAGCGAGATGTCTCGTGGCGTTTATAAATGTTCAGATCTGACGATTGTAAATCTAATCCAAGGATTGAGAATTGGTCTTACGGGTCTCACGAAAAACCATTGGTCTCACATGATCCCAAGTCTATATATATATATATATATATATATATATATATATATAATCATTCATTTAATGTAATTATTTTTTGTCGAAAAGATAAAATAGCTAAATTTAGAGTCAACAACTCCACATGCATCACAATCAACTATTATGTCCTAACCGTCCACCTGCACCCCCTAACATTCAAGTCCTCACCACTTAATGCCATCGTTTTACTTGTGCCGTATATGTTTGATTTCTTGAACGCATTCCAAAAGATGTCAAGTATGACGTCAATTGCTTCAAATTTAATAACATAAAAGGTCCATCTATATATATATATATATATATATATATATATATATATATATATATAGGCGAGTTTTTTACAACCTTTTACATTTGTATAACCAATACAATTCAATCCCAACCATCCAATTAATTTGATAAATATGTGATTTTATAAAAGTTTTGATTGTTTTCTAATATAAAGTATTGATAATAATTAATAAACTCTAGTTATCGTCCATAAATATTCAAATCATAATAAATTAACTCTCATCATTTACATAAATATTTTAATTGATTGGGTTGCATTGGTTGTACAAATGAACATAATTGTATTTGAAACATACCCTATATATATATATATATATATATATATATATATAATTTAATTGATAAATAACATATAATAATGTAATATAATTTTTCAAAAGATAAATAGGGAAATGTGGAAAAAGAACAAAACACCCCTGGTTCTAAGAACCACTTTTAGAGCAGAAAAAACAATATAGACGATTTCTAGACTTATCAAAATTCAATCCCACTTTGATTTCACCAAACCTTAAGAACCAAAATTAGAGTTTGCTCAAAAAATATTTTATATACATTTTACCTGATGATAGGATTTTTCAAGTTTTCAACCTATGTATCACTAATTGATTTTGTTGCGACATCTTTCTATGTAATCAATAATTTAACAACTTAACATTCACGTTACCAATTTTTTTAAAGTAGTATTAGTAACCCGGATACGCTTACTACATGATCTAACAATTACCAGTCAAAATAGATACAAAATAAAAGAAATTGAACATTTTGTGACATTAACTAGAAAAAAAAAAAATCGTTGTATACGCTTACAGTTTTCTTAATTTTGTCATATTACCAATTATATATTTCAATTAAACCTTACATTTTTGTGACTGAAAAGAGTATTACAAAATTGTATTTTAACGACACTCTTAAGATTGGAAAGAAAATGGTCCCAAAGAGCATGAACTTGATGACCAAAGTTATGATGATAGGACATTTTTGACGACTCACCCAACCAGCTAATTAGAAACAGTAGACGATATGAATGTAGGAATTTTAGAGCAGTATCAATTGAAGAACAATGATCAAGAAATTCGGGTAAAGAGGATTCTATATTTCTATGGTTGTGTCTCCAAATGAGTTCGTCCATCGATCACTAGAACTGGACTATTTTCTATTATTTCAAATAACTAAAATATGTGATGATTCCAATGTTTGATAAAATACATGATTGAACTATGTGCATTATTGGTGCATGATAAACTAATGAGATTCAAAGGAAAACTGAAGTGTTTATTATAGCTGTGAGTAGGGGTATTTATGGGTTGGTTTAATCGAATTGAAAACAATTGAACAACCCAATTCAATGTTTGCGGTTTGAAAAATCTTAACCATCCCAGCCCAAACCGTACGGGTTAGTCGGGTTAATACTTTGGTACATTAAAATACTCTTCTAACCTTGAATATGTTATTTCTCCACTCATAATTTATTTTTCATCATCAACCATTTGATACAACTTATTCATATTTTCTAACATATATCACATTCAGTTAATTTTCTCAATTTACATATATATGTTCACAGTTACTGAACATATGTATGAATGAATTATATAGAGATGTGAATAGATTGAAAATATATGTATATGAAGAAACGTATGTGATAGTGTAATTGTCTAATGTATATATTAATAGAAATTCAACAATCATACTAAATCTAAGAAATAAAAGGATATCGAGTTCATCAAGTTGGGTTGGGTTCAAATAATAGTGACCCAATATCAGCAAAATACCCGCGGTTTAAAAAATTTACAATTCGGTTAGACACCGGGTTGCTTAGGATTGAGTTATTTCATTTTGGGTTGGTCGGGTTTTTGAGCACCCCTAGTTGCGAGGTTATTGAACGAGCATTTAAAATGCAATCTTATGTGATTGCTTTTAGAGCAAAAACCGTAGAGAAAGCAGAATATTTCTTATGGGAATTCAATCGAGATAGAGGATTGAAAAAAAATGTATCTTCAATTTGAAAACAAATATATGCTCGAGACGGTGTTTACAAAGATGGAAACAAGTGCAATTGGTCGAGTATTAAGCTTTTGTTAAGTGATAATCACTATTTATTTGATGAAAAGTTTATCTTAAATACTTTGTTTTGTATTTTACTCGTTCATCCTTGATAAGAACACTGCAACACATAAATACTAAACATCGATGGACCAAACTTAAAAACTTTTTTAAGCAGCACAAATTACTTGGAAACCATAAAACTTGAACATATTTTGCTATTTTTTTACAAATATAAATGTTTTTATTACAACTGAAACAATTGACATGTAATGTTAGATTAAATAGCTGATTACTATAAACAGTTAAATGGTAGTAACATATGATAACGGAGTTGCGAGCCAAATAGGTTACATCGGTTGCAATATTGGCCCATTTTCTTCAAACATTTTATTTTCCGTTACATCCAAAAAAATTAAAAGGAAAGCATATTACTTATTCCATTTCAAACAAATGCAATATTAACTTTTTACATATAGCAATAAAAGTTTTTTTTATAGGTTCAAATAGAAAGCTAAATACTACAAGAAGATAAGAAGAAAATGTTCACATATGAATCACTAAAAAGATGAGAGAAAAATCTATTTAAAGAGACATATGTGAACTGACGTTACAAATTATTTATATGAGTTCATATGTGTATCTTTAAATAGATGTTTTCATTGATTCATATATGAATCTTTCGTTCTTATTTGAACTATATATAGTGGAAGGTTCAAATAAAAAGACTAAATATCATTTCATCATGAGAAGGGGAAAAAGAAAGGTTTAGAAAGTATTCATATGTGAATCATTGAAAAAAATCTATTTGAAAATGCATATGTGAACCGACATTACAGATTAGGAATATAAGTTTACATATGCATCTTCAAATAGATTTTTTCAATGATTCATATATGAACATTTTTTTATATCTTATTACGATATTTAACATTATGGGCTCCTACTTATCGTTTATTAAGACAAAATTTATGTAACTTATTTTTGCTACTAGCCCATTTAAGTCGAAGAAAACAAGCCTGGACTGATGGCCCAAATAGACCCCGATCATGTATTTATGGTTGTGTTTTTCTACTTTTATGTTTTATTGTTTGAATAAAAAGGACAAATTAAAACCTACAAAAAGAGTAAGGGGAGTTTACTAAAATAAATTTTCTCATTGGATGAACATGAGGAAGACCAAGAATCTTACGGGGTAAGAGGGATGAGAAGGATGGAGAGTCTTACCATGTAAGTGAGGATGGCGACTCTTACCCGGTAAGTGAGGATGACGACTCTTACCCAGGTAAGTACTTACCCGGTAAATTGTTGCATTCGATGTGTTTTGATTTACTAATCTTACGCATCAAAATAAATTAGTGTTGACTCCTATTGGTAAGCGCTTACCGAGTAAGCATTTGGATAAACACTCAAGTCTTAAATGAAACAAGTCTTATGAGCCGTTTACCAAACACTTACCCGATAAGTGTTTATCGGTAAAATTTTACACTATCATTTCCTTACCGGGTAAGATTTTAGTTCACCAAAATGACATCGTAAGCAACAATTTACCTTGTAAGCGCTTACCGTGGTAAGAGTCGTCGTTTTCACTTACCGGGTAAGACTCTTGGTCATTTGTCTTGCTCTTACCGGGTAAGATTCTTGGTCCTTATCATATTCATTCGGTAAGGTAATTTGACTTGATAAGCACTTACCCGAGTAAGCATTGGTTAAACGTCCCCTTAGATGCATAGGAAAATAAAATTGAAAACCTAGAAAAGAAAGATAAAAAGGACAAATTAAAACCTACAAAAAGAGTAAGTATCACAATCAAAGCTAAATTTGAGGAAATTTACACAACCAACAAAAAACCCTAAAAAGTGTTTGAAACGGTGGAACTCGGCTAAACACATAATAAACGTAAGACATCGACTTGCACCTTGCTCCAAAGGTCGATTTCATCTAAAAAATGTGTTTTAGTTCCCCAATTGACACAATTGATTTTCTCCGGATCGAATCCAAATCCAAATCCAATAATACAGAATTCTTCATTGCTTGTAGTTAGTCGTTTTTCTTAAGCTTCAATACATTCTTTAGCTTGGGTGTGATGACCTCCATGCCAATCTTCTGACCCGTTTAGTTCACCCATACTACAAAAGAGTCTACTTATGAGGCTGAAACGTTAAGAGATTAATCAAAATGGATAAATACCCATTTCGTCCCTTGCTGAAAAACCTTAACTTGAAATGTGTAATAATTACAGATCGAAATAATAAGTGGAACCCTTTCTAAAAAAGCCCCGCGGAGAAAGGTGACGTTAAGTTTGATGGTTCATGTATGGCAGATGTAAGACTCCACCTTTCATCGTAACCTCTTGTGGCTTCTGGTGGATACTCCATGCAACAATTTCACAAATCCCAGAAAGCTCAGCTTCCCATCCGTATGCCGTATCCAGTCATTCAGAACGGCATGTAGCGGAACCGAAGGACCGAGCCCCAGTTCCTGAAAGAATTCATTTCAAGCAGTGCTCGATCAAATATTTGTTTCGAGAGCTTTCACTACAACAAAATTGACTCTATAATCAAATATATCTAAATGTCCTAATAAACTGTTTTATACATGCTATGTAAAGGTATTACAATAGGTCTAACAAGATTTTTAGAACAATTTGGAAATAAAACATCTCTATTTGCATGACATCGTTTTGAAAAAGGGTCGTATTATAACAAGTGTCCTATAAGAGTGTTAGGACATTAAAAGCTAATAAGACATTTTATTTCAGAAGTGTCTGAAAACACCTGTTATGATGCCCAAATAGCATTGTATTGTAACACCTATATATAGACGCGTAATTGTTTGGGCTTATAAACGTATGTGGTATGAAGCAGTCTATTAAAACATTTAGACACATTTGGCATCCTATAAAACCGATTTCATTGGTGCTGTTAATGGTGCAGTTTGTAGGTATTCATCTAAAAAGCAATGGAAACAAGCGAATCTCAACTTACAGATGCAAGTTCTTCGATAACGATGGCCCTATTACCGTCTTTGTCGAAGATCTCATAAGCACACCGAGCATGCTGTTCCCATCGGTCGAATGATTCAAGTTGATGAACACAAACCGCGGCTGCACAGAATTCGTCAAAATCCAGTCGTAGTGCACTCAGCTGTGATACATACATCAAACCGATATATTTCAATTAGAACACGAAAAAACGATCCATGAACAAGTTTAGTAGCTTAATTAATCACCCAAGTAAGATAATCTGTGATTCGAGACTCCTTCATTGCGTTTGTTGCGTGCTTCGTTAACGCCTGATTACATGTTTACCAACTCAGAGTTAGAGAACACCGATCGTCCAAAATAAACATAAGCGAAACGGAGAAAATCTAACCGTTTTAATGCTCTCTAAGGTTACGTTTTCGGATTTCTCGGGAGCTAAGTGTCGAAACTGCTTGTTAAGATAAAATAGATCGTCGGCAGTCAACGTTCTTGACAATGCCTGCAGGTACGTATAAAAATAACACGCAAGTTAATACACATTCTCTCCCGACGCAATCTGTTGTAGATTTAGATCGATATATGTCATACGTAATACGCACCCGTAAAGCAGCCTTGCGCAAAGGAGATGAAAGCGTGTAGGCTTTCAGTAATCTCAGAATACGAATGTCGATTGGAACTTCAACTCCGTTATGATCCCGAATCCAGGGGTGACCTGAACAAAACAAGAACGATGACGATATTACCTAATTTTCACCCTTTCAAACCGTTTTACCATCAGCCGTTGCAACATAATCGGCTTTATAGGATGTAAAATATATCTAAACGTCCTAATAAACTGTTTTATAAGACCATCTATAAATGAGTTTCAATAAGTCGATAGCATGTTTTTCCATATTTTAACAAGTTTTTAAGACACTTTATATCTTATAAAAACAAGTGTCTTACAAAAATAAATGTTCATATAACGTTTCTCGGACTTGTTTAAAAAGACGTTTCATTTCAAAAGTGTTTTAGTAAAACACCGACGCACAACATAACCCTATAAAAAAATCCCGAGTAAACTATGATTTTCATCCCCGTGGTTTGTTACTTAAAACGATTATTTAACGGATTTTCAAAAGACAGAATACTCACTTAGAGCCTGTGCAGCGGTCATCCGTTTACGAGGGTCTTTATTCAAGAGACACTGCACGAAATCTTTGGCATGCGTAGATAGTGAAGGCCATGGTTGTTCGATGAAACTTGGATCGGTTTTAAGGACCGACCTGAAAATGCCCGACTCGGTTCGTGCCCAAAATGGTCGACTGCCGCATAGAAGAATGTACGCTATGACGCCTACGCTCCACACATCAGCTTCTGTACCATACGATCTGAGGAGAACCTCCGGTGCTACATAATACGCACTTCCAACAATGTCGTTGAGCTTTTCATCTGCATATCGCTACGAATACTTATTTTAACTCTTGTATACCATCTAATGGGCCTTTTGTTAGATTCTGAATGATTTGGTGCAGAATAGTTAAGAGCGGTTCGAATGACAAAAAAGTTACCGTTCTACTAATAAACATTGTTTAATTAACTTCATAGCTTTTAAACCGACCTGGCTTGACGAAATCAGATAACCCGAAATCGATGGCTTTCAACTGGGAATCATCGTCTTTCGCTTTCAACAAGAAATTCTGAAGAAAATGATGAGAACATTAATTCCGTGCATGATAATAAGCGGAAATACGAAGACAGTAATTAAAGCGAAAGAGTTCATACCTCGGGTTTAAGATCGCGATGAACCACACCTTGGAGATGACAAAATGAGACCACATTCAGTATCTGTACCAATACATTCTTCGAATAATCTTCTGTGAATTTCCCACCCCTGCAAAAGCGTTTAGAATCAGAACACGAAATCAAACATGAATCGGAAACCAAATTTGAAGCTAAGAAAAACGTGTTTACGACCTTGCAAGTATTCGATCAAGAAGCTCGCCTCCTTCGCAGAGTCTGGAACATATATGCACAGTTAGATGTACGAAGTATGGTGGTGGTTATTATTCATATATGAATATGGTTAAAAAAGCTTACTCCATAACTATGTAGACTTTATCGTCGTCTTCAAAAGCATCATAGAACTGTACAAGGTTATCGTGTCCTGCCAACGCTTGCAATATCCTCACCTCTCTTCTCACATCCTCGACTGCAATAGCCGTCGTCATCTGCCAAAAATCATTACATTTCGAGTTCTTGATCAAGATCTAATGAACTGCCTCGGAGAGTGATTAACTTTGGTCTTGGGATGTTTCATATTAATAACAAGCTTTGTAAAGTTCCCCGATAGGAGTTGCTTTGGTTTTCCATTAACTCTTGTATGGATAAAGTTGATTGCATGGATTAATCTGTCCGTATAGATTGGGAGGCTTTTTTTCATAAATGGAAGGCGTGTGTTTTTAGATTGGAAGGGACAGTTTGGAAAGAAAAAAAATTTGACTTTCTACATAAAACTCCCCCTAAATCTTACTGAACAAACCACTTTCTATATCATTAAGCCACAACAAAACAACCATGGAAAGCTAAAAGAGTTAGTTGTGAGTCCCATTAAGCTCATTAAGCTATTAACAAACATTGCCTAAGTGAGCCAGAATAATCCCCTCCTGGCTAAGCTCGCACATTTTAAATGAATTGCTTATGAATTTGTTTAAGGGCCAACTTAGCAAATCGCTAGAAAGCCACTTATGTTGTTTAGAACACCGTTAAGAACGACATTTTTTTTGTACATTTGTTTTCAAGTTATGCTCATTGACGATGTTTTACAACTAGGACCCATAAAAATTGCAACAATTAAAAAGGTATCGAGTCAAGTATGGTCAAATCGTTGTTGATGGATCACGTCACAATCACTTAACAAGTATTTTGTATAACGATATAATTATTTTGTAAAAGGATTTTTTTCTTAGAACTTGATCTACCGTTATAGTTCACAAGTTGCACATGACACACAAAACTCATTGAATTTGGTCAACACGTTAAAGATAAGACACATCAACATATAAACGGTAACAAAAAACAAGTTACACCTTGATACTATATTTAATTAAGGAATCTTAGATCTATAAGCAACAAACAACATGCATGAATGCATATATATATATATATATATATATATATTATGAATGTGAGAAAAACTAGATCGTAGATGCTTTAATTTCACATGCGAATGAAATTATAAATAAATAAAAAGAATAAATAATGAAAAGAAGTTTGGGCTTTGCTTTCCATCAATTATGAAAATGGAATCATCTTTCCATTTGTTATATAATTGCCTATCATTTCAAGTTTTTGAAGAAGTTAAATTTTTGAATTTATAATAAGTTGATAAGTATTTTTATAAAAAAATATACATAAATATCCATTCAAAATTTCATTTTAAGTCATATTTGATATAACAATCTAATATTTAGATGCGATCAGGGGTGAATAGACTACCTTAGCCTTGGGTATGACCTTGACGGCGACTTTTTGACCGGTGCGATCACCTGACTTGCAGGTGGCAGATACAGTATACCCAAAATGCCCTCTCCCCACCTCCTCTCCAACCTCGTACCGATCCTTGAACCGTTTCGACAACCCGAACCGCTTATCCAGACCAGCCCCTGCTTCCTGCCCTCCCTCCGTCCCCGTCCCTGGACGCCGTCTCGTAAGCACCGCCATTATATGCTTGGCTGGCGACGGCGGCGGGAACGGTCCCTTTAAGATCCTACTCGGCGTGGAGTTGCCACTGGACCGCCGTGCCGGAGACTTTTTCTTGCTTAGGAAGAATCGAATAGGGCTGGGGGTGTAAAAAAAGGAGGGTTTTCCGGCGGCGGATGAATCATCCCGGTGATCCTCATTCTCCGGTGTCTGGAGTTGCTCCGGGAAATCCCGTGGCAGATATGGGTTGCGTCTCGGAGGCTTGGAAGCGCATGTTCCCATGATGATGGCAGTTGGGTTTTCAAATATTCCGATGGGCAGACCGGCGAGAGAAAGGGTGTATGGGTGGATGGTGTGGAAATATGAATGGATTCCATCCTTTACGTGGTTTATGAGTCTTGGTCTTTTTATTGTTATTATATTCTTTCTTTTTTTTTGTTGCTTTTGTTATTATATTGTTCCAACCAATAAGCGGCGGTGGTGTAGTTAGTAGTACTGAGTAGGCTGCAATTTATGTGGCTGATTGTTGGAATTGGGTGGTTTACTTTTTTGGTCACAATAAAGAAGCCCACTTATTTATACTTATCCATTTTTTACTCCATCTTTTTTTCCTAAGGGAAAGGGAGTATATGCACATTTTTATTTGAGTTTATTACATTTTTGGTCTTTTTTTTGTGCTTGTTTTTTTATTTTTGTCCCTATAATTTGTAAAATATATTGGTGGTTTATTTTTCATGTTTTTGAATCCAATATAGTCCATTCTGTTAACGTCGTTAGAAAGGCTTTGTTAAATACATCCTACGGCCCTAAATGTGAATAATACTTTGGTCTTTTTACCTTTTCTGTAATTTTCTTTATCTAATATTATATATATATATATATATATATATGAGTGTGTGTGTGTGTGTGTGTGCGCTCGTCTTACTTGAAACTTGAATCTAAATGGTTAACCTTTCACCATTTCTGGAACTTTTGATGAAGAAGCAAATGAAGAAATCGAACCCCATTTCTGGAAGTTGATGATGGTCGAAGTAGATGAAGAAACCCAACCCCAACATTCGTTTTTGTGGTTCTATTCCTAACCAAATCCAAAATAAGGTTAGATTCTGATTTGTCCCTACATGAGGAACCCGGCAATGGTGGGTGGTTGATGGTCAGTGGTAGGTGATTGATGGTGAGTGTACAACAGTGGTTGGTGATTGCGAATACTTGTTATTATATTGAGGGAGCTGAAGGTAGGGATAAAGAAGGGTAAAAAGAATAAATTGTTCCTCATACGAGGGCATATGATGCGTTAAACATAGCTCTTTCAATGGTGTTATATGGAGGGACTAGTTTGGGTTCTAAAACACACCAATGTACTTTACGAATTGTAGAAATGAAAACCAAAAGGCAGCCATAGACAAATGACCAAAAATATAATTCCTTCTTTCTATTTTAATTTATTTAAAAATAAATGTTTACTTTTAAAAGAAAATAATCTACTTTCTTTTAGCTTGTTCTTAATAAGACTTGTTTAGCAATGCTTATTTATATCATCTTTTACTATATAGATGTTACTTTTTTCCCACACGTTTAAAATTAATTAAATGACATAAAAGCATTAATTTGCGATCTCAAATTCAAGTCATGTAACAAAAGGGAAATCTTGACTTTTTATGCTTAATGTACGTTCACATATTAAAACTTACGCTTCATTCTAACCATGAGTCTCTCTCCCCTCATACGAAACCTCGTAACTCTTCTGTGAAACTTCTCCTTCTATATTTGTTTTTTACTTGACATACTAATATATATTTATCCATGTATCCATACTATAGTTTACATGTATCTATACTAATACATATATAGCTGACTAAGAATGTCAGGTTGTTGGAAGATATTCTGATACGATCTAAAAGATGAAATCATCAAATGTCGATTCGTCACCAGTTCCTTATGAGAAGTGTTATTCGTGTAGGAATCATTATATGTTAGTGCTTGATTAGTTCATTGAATTGTTAGTAAATGTCCCATGAAGGTGAAACTATCCTTTATAAATGCTAGATGAAACTAATTTATTCATGGCTTGAATTTTTTTTTTAAAAATTCAGTATGTTAATCCAATGTTCAATTGACCAAATAGTACTTAACGAGATTGTGTCTGATTCAAACCCAAACACCATTAAACGTTATCTTTAATATAAATACTTGTCGACAATAGCTGATATTTTTTTTTAACCACAAGGGTGGTGCCTGATTGGTTTGAGTATGACTTCAAATGTCAAAAGTACCAGGAGGTCTCAGGTTCAAATCCAAGTAGGAATAAAAATCCCTTTGTGTCCACGGATGTTCAAATGCGGTGACTCCGACCCATCTACAAAGCAGGTGGTCATTATGAGATTAATCAACTCGCATAACGGATTGGATATCCAAGTTAATAAAAAAACTTTTGACCCTATTTAAAGTTATTAATGTATCCTTTAGTACTAAACTACAAATTAATACATGCAATGCAACTAATATATTTTATAAAGAAGTGGATATTTTATATTTTGTAATTTCTAGAATTAATTTATTAATTTTAATTTTAAATAACATAACATGTGTGGTGTTTTTTCTTTTCAACATGTAATAATAATTAAAATTAGTGGAAAATTGCTTTCTACTATTAGTTTTTGTAATCTTTTTTTGACCAAATCTGATACATAATCGTAGAAGACAAAATTCTATTTGCAAAATTAATCTCCCCTTTCTTTGACTTCTACTTTCCTTTGTCACAGACTCATTTGGATTGTACTGTATTTTCATTTGTTGTTATTTTGTTGTTTGAACTCTACGCTTTTTGTAGTCAAATGGCTCATCCATTTGGTTGTCCTACCATTTACTTGAAAATATTGAAACTACTGTTCTATCTTGATTGACTACTACACCTACAATTTGATGATAACTTCGTCACAAAATGGGGATTGATGGTGGAATGATAACAAAGTCGTAGACTGTTGGTGTGTTGGAAAAAAACGAATGGCGAACAAATTGTTACATCTTATAACGACACATTAACAACTTATTCTAAACGTTGATGTGATCCATTGAAAGTGTTGTTACTTTTTACAGAAATGGAGCCATGTGTTAGGGTCCTCACTTGCAAGTTGCCAAGATTTGGACCATGGTTATAATTAAAAACACTTAATTTTTTGTCCATAATTTTTTTTTCTAGAAGTTGTTATTTTATCTTCCATGCTTGATTTTTTTTAAAATACAAGTTCTTAATAAATTATAGAGTTAAATATAAATTTAGTCTTTGTAGTCTATATAAATTAACGAGTAAGGTCGCTGAAAAAAATTATTAATGAATGACGTATCTATGGTTTTGATCGTATAACAGATATGGGCCTTCTCTCCCACAACTTTCATTTTTAATGACGAATTTGGTCCCTTAAATTACTTTTCATTTTATAATAAAGGGAAAAGTTCAAAAAAACCAAATGGATTTTACTGTTTGGAACGATTAAACCCTTGGACAATTTTTTGGAACAAATAAACCCTTGGACTTTCTAAAATCTGTCAAAAAAACCCAATGGACTTTACTGTTTGGAACGATTAAACCCTTGGACAATTTTTTGGAACAAATAAATCCTTGGACTTTTTAAAACCTGTTAAATAAGTCCTTGGACTTTC